AAAAAGCCATGATTTGATAAGCCTACAAAGTATCACTTTTCTTGAAGAGTCCCCTGATTCCTTCAGTGCTCACAAATCCATTTCTTCGGCTTCTAAATAAACAAGAAACGAGGGGTGTCTGCTTTTAGCAAAATGAAAACATTAATTACCCAAGAGGTTTTATGGGGAGAACTGAGAACATTGAAGAGAAAAATATATTGATACCAAACTGAAACTATTTCTATTAAAAAAAAAAAAACAAACACAAAACCTCACACACACTCTGCCACATTCAGATTTTTGTTTTGTGACAGCACCACCTATCTCAGGGATATCACCTTTGTTCTGTTTGTTTACAAAGAGCTAAGGTTTAGATTAAGTCAGAAAGCTCCTGCTCTAACATTTACATTTCCCTTTCAAAACATCTTCTGCCCTTTGCACTCCTCAGTCCCACCAAAAGGTCGAGATTCTTTTATAATGAAGAAGCATTTGTTTGAAATTGTTACTTGAATTGCACAGCCAAGTTGTAGGAGGTAAGTATGACAATGTACATAGTCATCTGTTTACATTCATTCAGGTGCCTCTGAAACCCCAGTTATTGCTGCTGGATTGGGAAGATGAGAGACGTAAGTACAGTGTAACTGTAAGCGTAAGAATTCAAATTTAACTCACTATTTGTGCTGTCATTCCTGTTCTGCACATCAGTATACAGAATTAAATTGCCACACTGTTCTCAGTTTTACTTAGGCTCTCTATATTGGTAGAATTTTAGTAGTAACAGTTTTACAAACACTGTTTCAGTTAAATTATAAATTTATTATATTATTCTAAATTACAGCATTACAAAGTTATGACTTAAAATCCTAGTTCACCTACAATGTTTTAGTGTTTGGGGGTTTTTCATAATAAAATAGGTAAGGTATATTCTCTACCTCTTGAAGACATTGCAACTCACAATAAAAACAGGGTCTCTTATTAAACAGATCAAATGTACAGAACTGACTGTGAAGAGCAAACAAAGGTTTTATGCACAGAACTCATCCTGCCCCAATACACCACTGTATTTCTTCAGACACAATGTGTTTTTCACTCATTTTCTTCTCGTAGATTTGTAGCCCTCCCTCACGTAAGCTTTAATTTTAGCATTTGGCTTCCCAGTTTCATTTCAGATTTACACAGCGTTAGGAGGGGTTAAACTACTCCTTTTGGTAACCTCAGCATCAAGCTCAGAGTTATTATTCTACTCCCACCAGTTCTTGCTTTGGCCCTGCAGAAGCTGAGTGCACTCAATTCTTCTCAGTCCACTCTTACAGTCAATGGCCTACTGATATAAAAATCCTTAAAAAGAGCTAAGACAGACACCTACCAAACAGGTAAAGCAAGAAATTTTGTTGAATTTCTTCTTTCAGAGATAGTCTCTACAGTGGTGACATTCTGACAGCAGAAGAGATCAAACACTTTGAATAAACATTGATTTTTTTCTTCATTATACTCAGTGCTAACTCCCATTCAACTGACACGCATCAAATGAAAAAAGATAATTTAATATACCCAAAATAAGTTAACTCAAAATAACTTTGTCCATGTACCTGTGACAGAGAGTGACAATGGAGCCCACTCTGTCTGAGCCCACTCTGTCTTCTTGTTACGAACATGGCCTAGGGAAGCAGACTCAGGCTAACACTCACTTTCCATTTAAAACACCTAGAAATCTGCTTAATCACAGGACTCACCACGCTGCTGAAACCACTCCTTGTGAAATGATTTAAACATTAGTGAGGGTACACTGCCCTACAGCGCTGTGTAAGGTATCCAGTATCTGTCCCCATCCCTGCTGCCGCACATCGCTCCCGCTACCAACACCCTGCACACAGGCGGAGAAAAGACGAGTTACTCGGGAACACTTTTAGACGTTTTAGCAGCGGCGCGCACTTTGCGGTGCATCGCGGGCTTATTTTGAGGGCTTATTTCCTGCTTTGCTAAAGAGTGAAAGCACACGTACCGCGCTCGTCATTCGCCCCGAACACAAGCACGGAGCACACGGGTCCTGCCCGCAGCATCCTCCGGGAGGGCACACGGGAGCAGCGAGCACAGACAGCAGCCGGGACAGGGAGCAGCCACCCTGGTTTGTTAAACCACATCCATCCCTCCTTCTCCTCCTCCCGAAGATGCTGCGCCGGAGCCGGCGGAGGTGCCGCCTGCGCGGGACCGTCCCGGGACACCGCGGAGCGCAGGTGAGGGAGGCGGCGGGTCCCGCAGCGCCAGCCCGGCACCGCAGCCCGGCTCTGCCCCGTAAACCCGGTTTCTCCCGCTCCTCCTCCGCCCCTCTCCCGCCGGGACCCCGCCGCTCACCTCGTCCCGGCGCCGCGCGAACGCAGGGCGGGCGTCGGGAAAAGGGGGATCCCGGGGGTCCCCGGGCCCGCCGCGCCGGCCACTCACCGCGGCGTCCCCGCCGAGTGTCCCTATTGTCCGCCCGGCCCCGCCCCGCCCCGGCACGGCCGCCCCGCCCCGCCGGGGACACCGCACGGGGGGAGCGGGCTGGGAGCGACGGGGCGGGCTGGGCTGGCAGTGTCGCGGTGGTGTGCGCACTCTTGGACAGCGAGGAGCGCGCTCTCCTCAGGGTTCGGCTCAGCTGAAGCGGCTGGGGGACACCTGCGTCCCCCTGCTGTCCCCAGGGTACCTAGGGGGAATGCGGGCGCAGAGCAGGAGAAGCCCCGGCAGCAGTTGCTGAGGGGTTAAAGAGAGAGAGGTTTCGCTGCTGACCCCTCGCCCGAAAGGTTTAGTGAGGTCATGGGACTCGCAGTGTTTTTCTTTTGTGCTGTTGATAGCAGGGCGGTGAGTGATTCAGGCGGTGGAGAGCACGGTTTTACTGCAGAGGAGCTTTAAAGGAACCAAAAGCCCCTGTTGCTCCACGCTTTATTGTCATGTCAAACAGGAGACTTTACCCGCTAGTGTTTGAGAGTGGACTTTGCCCTCTATTTATAGTATGATTTCATCGCTTTATGAGTGAAGGTAAACACCAGGAGGAGCAGAACCAGCAGCATAGATACAGCACTCCCCCTGGAGCTGGGATGTCCTTAAGACTTTCACGGCTAAGTTTTTAAATGTACAGAAGTGCTTGTGTACGTGTGTATCTTATCCAAACCACTTCGGCACTATGCATAGCAATCCTCCTTGTCACGTGGATGTTTTTCTCTCATTCTCGAGCTCCGTACACGAGGTTTACTCATCTGTGAAAGGAACATGACAAAGCTTATCTTCCCGCTCATGCCAAGGACTGTGCTGTGTTTGCATTTGCACATGTTAGATGAAAATTGCCTCGAAAGTACAACATAATAAAAGGGAAATTAACCTCCGTAATATCACTTCTTGCCATGACTTTCTCCTATTCACGAGTTTGGATATTTCAATTCTTGTATTTACTTAGCTTCAAATCAATAATAGTTCCTCTCCCGAAACCAGGCTTAATTCTGCACATGCAGGTAACCTTGCTTAACTTGGTAAGTCGCCTCAAGCTTAAAATAGAATACCCAAATGTCATCATAGGAGTGATTTCTGCCACAAAGATAACACGCCAATGCTGCCACAGCATTTCCTGATACAATAACAACGAGCATCACTGAGCTGCTCTCAAATTACCCCCCACTTCCCTTGTTTTAACAATAATGTTACAAAGTGGAGATGCCTTAATATTAAAAACTAGAGCGTCTGTTATTAGCTGTAATTTAATACTGTCAATGTACATTTCAGAGAGACAGCAGACTTCAAAGAGTAACACCAAAAAGCAGTCTTTAATGAAACACTTGATACATTTAAAAAGTGGTATTTTTTTCTCAGCTTTCCTCTGAGGTATGATGGATGCAGGGACCAAAAAAATAATGATTGACAGCAAGGAGAAGATTGAGGTGCACTTTTCTTGCCACCAACTGTCACAGCAGAGGTCCCTCCCTCCTCGATGGAAAGAAGGCTGTGGAGGCTGCTCCCCTCTGCTGCCAGAGGTATTGTGGTGCCAGGAAATTTCCACTGCACATGACCGTAGGATGATACACTGCATTTTGCAGCTGCTTTCATAGCTGAACTAGGGAATATTTAATATCTCCAGTTATATTAATTATTAAATTTAACTTTTTCCTTTTAGTCGCATCCTCGAAACAGCCTATTACCATAGGGTGATCTGGCAAATTATAAAGGGTATTTATTTTATTCAGATTGTTTGGGGAATTAAGGCTCGTAGGAAATAAGAGATCATACACAGTTTCAGAGTTATTTGCTCTACTCCGACACACTGCAAACTGCTTATTTCAGCCACTGGCTTCGTGTATCTATTTTTTTTTTAATGAGCAGTTTGTCTTACAGGGACAGATTAAAGGTACCATAATAAGTAATTTGTCCATTTGTCCATTGTGTAATACCTTATTGTTTTGTATTGGGCCTACCACAAAACGTCAGTGATCTGACATTTACGTCAGGTGTCTCAACATAATCTCTTCTTGGAAGGAATTCTGAATGTGTAAATCAGGCTTCTCTGCACAGGAGTTAATGCCGTAACTTTTTTCGTACTATTTCACTGTGAATTATAGTTGTTGATCATGCTGACGATGGCACAGGTTGCCCAGAGAAGCTGTGGCTGGCCCGTCCCTGCAGGTGTCCAAGGCCGGGTTGGACAGGGCTCGGAGCAACCTGGCCTGGTGGAAGGTGTCCCTGCCCATCCCAAACCACCCTGTGGTTCCATGATGATACTATGACCATCTGGGTGAAAATCTGGACGCTTCCTTTGAACAGTACCGGTACAAGAGCAGCTATTCCTACAGCCACGTGGGCGAGGAACACTTCAGCACCCGATGGGCTCAAACAGAGGGGCTCGAGCCTTGGCATCCGAGCGCCCCTGGGGGTTTGGTGTTGCGGTGACATTCAGGGATGTTACGTCCCGCCGTGGCCTCCCGCCAGCCCCCGTTTGCCCATGAACTCTGTGCCGGGTCGTTGCTGAAGGGCCGCCCCGCACACGACATGGCGACCGCGCCATGGCAGCCCCGCCCCGGGAGCGCCGCCGGAACGGGCGGGGCGATGGCGGCGGCCGGCGGGGACGGCCCGGCCTGAGGGACAGCGGCGGCCGCGCCTCCCGCCGGCAGGTGAGAGCGGGGCGGCGCGGGGAGGGTCGTGTGTGTCCCTGCCCTCTCCTCGACATCCCCTGCACACGCATTCCCCATCTTCCTCCTCCGTCCTCCTCACCCCTCTGCCACCCCCCACCCCCCCCCCACTCCCCCCACACCCCCTCCATTCATCCCACACACCCCCTCCCATTCACCCCACACACACCCCATTCATCCCCCCCCACATCCCTCCAAAAACCCCACACAGACTCCCATAAACCCCACCCACACTCCCATTCACCCCACACACACCTCCCCGTTCATCCCCCTCCACACTCCCATTCGCCCCACACACCCACAC